CACTGTCTGGGTTCGCTCCTCTGAACGCTAATATGGGAGTCAGCAGCTGCTCGCTTTATTGAAATGTAATATATGGCATAATGACTAAAGTGACTTAAAAAAATTCTGTGCGATCAAAAATAGAATGTTTCAGTTTAAAAGCGACGTGAATTTAAATATTTTAAGCAATGTTGTATTTGTTTAATTACGTTCATCTTAGAGAGACTCGCATAAGACTTTTGACATGTGAATAAAAGAAAAGATGTATAAATTTCTTCGTGTTTCTAACGGATGAACAAAACCCTTTTGTAAATATAGATCTGCACACTAGAATTACACCTTTGCGAATCCACCTATGTTTTTATTAGGTAATCGCTCCATAATAATTGCCATGATACTTAATAATCTGAGATAGAGATGAAGAAGCAAACTAAGGACAAAATTGTCATTAAACTTCAATTTTGAATTTTAATTGTTAGCAGTCCGAATTTACTATAGGGTCGACATCTTAAATTTAAGAGGAAGGAAGCTAATCACAGCAGTAAAATCCATAATGCTTCTTTCAAAATTTTATCCTTTGTGATATTATTTTTACATAATTTGTGGTAGTGAGTGGTGCAAAATGACGTCAACAAATGCATATTATACTATTTTTTGGTGTTGGAAACATAGTCATTGCCACACCTAAGTTTATTTGTATTTAGACAACTATAAATGAATAATAATCTTGGAGATATATGTATTTATATATGAGGCATTTTTGTCTTTATCGTCTGTAAACGTTGTGAATGAGTGAATAATACAGTAATTACAATGCACTATATTTGGATAACAGCCATTCAAAACATGTAAGGCATCACTGTACCAGTATGGAGATAGGATGTACGCTGTACCACGACGGTATGCTCTTAAATTATTTAAACGCGTTATATTTATAGTCACTGCATATACAGGAAATGAAAAATGTTTACAAACCAATATTCTGATTTAATCTATTTGATCTCGCAATTTCAGGATGATAAAACAACCACATCTTTAAGAACCTGAATGTTACACAGCTCCTAAAAAAACATCACACATTAGCACGAACAATTAAAAATGTTTTTTTCGTTCAATGACGTCATAAAAAACGCGCTACTGAAAAAAAGGTATGTATTAACAACCAATTTAATGTAAAATAATTGTGCAACTTGCTTTAATTTGTTTACCTGATTTGAGTGACCCTTTTATTAAATGACGAAACATTTAATCACCAATGAGATCATTAGCTTGACTAGCCCAATTCATTTTTGAGAGGTCGAGTGTTCTGCGCTCCTCGTCAGTCATGATCTTTTTGCCACTGTTAGCTATTATTATTTTGATACCTCTAGCGCCAACAGTAATGGTAATGTGGATGGCGTTACGGTTGGCTGGATTTTTCCTCCCTACGATGGTTTATCATACTTTCGATGATAAACTTTTCTCATGGTATCAGCGTTGCGTGCTACTTTTTTTCGAAACGTTTGCAACGAAAAGGGTAATTTTGTAATTCTTCCTTATTGGCATTTTAGATTTACTTTTATGGGGACCACGACTATACCAAACGCAAGGAAAATGTGATTTTAATGTGTAACCATCAGTCAACAGGTATTGGTCATGTTTTTCTATCAGTCGTCAATAGTTGATTGGATTATTTGTAATATGATTATCGCGAGACAGGGTGGGATCGGTCGACTTCGCTTTATTTTGCTGAATGCACTTAAGTATATCCCAGTGTTTGGCTACTACTTCTATCAGGTTCGTTGTCTCTAAGCCGTTTTTGCCATTTGTTCGAATGCTCGTTTGTACATTAGTGTACTTCTGTGCACTTTGTTAATTAGTTGCTGTTCAAGTAAAATATTAAGTGAGGATATTTGATGCTTAGGTATTTACTTTTACGAATGTTGCGTCTATCACCTTAATTCCTCAACCAACCTTTGAAATTTACCAACTACGAAATTGAGTAACTTTTAGGCAGTGAAAAGATAAGAATAATAAACGGGGTATATAGTTTAGGTCATGAGGTAACTAATTTATCAAGCGCTGCTCTATCCTTTTACATGTCCTGTTTTCAATGCATTGTTTTGGACTATTTTAGAGTGGGTATTAGTTGTTTTGTTTAGCCGTCGAAATTAGTAATTAATTTAACTGGTTTTGGTATTTCTTTTTGCCATCTTAGTTTTCAACAACCTATGAATCTGGCTTCGTTTAGATAGTTCCGATCTTATTATTACCTACAATTTCAATTAGATCATATCTGCCGTTTTAATTTGTCGGATTTTTTGATATCATTCTTAAATAATATTTTCTTCCGTAGCACTGCTTCATTTTCGTCAATCGGGACAATTTTGAGGCACATAAGGCTGTTGCCACAATGGATTACATTAAAAAAAAGAATCTTTCGGTAAGAAACGTTACACCTTTGCTCTCTGTGTATTTTTCCTCTAAATTCTTGAAGATAATAAATCGGCCTATGTAAGGGATATTGGACACCAATCCGTTTGTTGCACGCGTTTGTTATAGTCTGCAACCATAAGCTAATTTGTCGCTTCATGTCAGAACTGCCTTTTCCTTATTTCAACAATTCAATTGACATTTTTTGCGCGATTATGTCAGGTATATTTTTGCAGTTTTGTTTTGCAGTATGTTTTCTGTATGTCGTGAAATTCTTTGTTTTTTACTTCACTAGAGGTCTTTTTTATCCGCAAAACTTTAATGATTTACTTTGTTTTCGATGTTAACAGCTTCTTGTTTCCAGTTCATGTATACTCCATAAACGTGGTTTTCTGTCCTCGTCTACCGTCTGCAACGAATCGTGTTTGCCAACGTGGTTTCCCTGTTTTCTATGTTCTCACTGCACGTAAATTATTGAAAGTATCACTGCCCTTTTCACTCCGTAGGTAAACAACAAATTTGTCTGTTGTCTTTTTACTCAAATGTGGTGTCAAATTTCCTTGGGATGGTGTTACCTATAAAGTATAGTCTATAAGGGAATTAATAATCGCTCTATCAACGTCTCTGGTTTGCATTATTTTATCTGAAATATTATGGAAATGTTCCCTCCACAATCTTTCTGCCAAACTATTCATTAATAATTATGATTGCGTGTTTATTGGTGTATCCTTAATAGTTGGTCACCCCATATCCATCCACTGTTGAATATGAAGTTGTAAATTATCATGATCTTGCTTTCCTGACAATTGTATTTGTGATTATAAATTTGTTTAAGATGGGCATCAGAGTTAACTGCCATTATTTGATGTACATTGGGTTGTTGTGACACAATAATGCGCCCAAAGTTCTGACTTAGTCACGTTGCTTTGTTATGCTTACATTAAGTACAAGGCCCTTAATCTCCCGCTTTAAAGTCCTGAACCAATGTATTTTCTTCCCTGACAGGATTAGAGTTGATTTTTGCGTCAAAGCACTACCCTAGTTTATCTATTTGTAAAGTATTTGGTATTTCTCTATATTTCATTGCACAGAGTTCTATTTTTTGGTGAATTTTTAAGTTCTGATCAAATTAGTAGAAGTGAAAATGAGACCGAAATAAGCACCAACAGCGACATTTGTAGGTAGGGACAAGCAACGTCATTTTAGTCAACTTCGTTGTCGTAACTTTTTTTTAACTTGCTGTGCATGTGTCCATGGTAACCCAATTAGCTTAAATAGCTTTACGTTTCCTTAATTGTTTAAACCTGCTTAAGGTGAAAACATGTAGCAAACGAGTACCTGGCGTTACCAGTTTGGGCTCTCCCCCTGCTTTATTATGTAGGACGTGTTTTTCTTACAAATCGTTTCCGTTTTTTCAAACTTTGTTGTTGAGTTACTGAGGTGGAGTTAAATACAAATGTAAATGTCAATTGTTAATCATCCTTTTACATATGTAGTCATGGATTGTCGCCTTCCCGGAAGTCGATCGTTTCAGCCCAGCAAAGCCAAAGGTTATTGAGGAGAGTCGTGCTTTCGCCGTTTCAAAAAGTAAGTTATGCTTTTTCCCACATGAATTTTGCTTTAATTTTTCTTTATTACGTATATGTATCGGTTAATGAGGTCTTTAGATTGAAGAAGCCTTATCCTCTTTCTCTGCCGACTAATTTCTTCGCATAGTCTTGTCGACTAAGCTGACCCAAACACACACATATACTTCTCCCCTTTCGGGTTAAGCCATCATTAAGTTGTTTTGGTGTAGACTTGTGTAAAATATAACCTTCGTAAGTGTGTCAACTGCTTTAAAAAGCCGCCAAAACTCACTTAGTTATTAGTGTTTACGAAAATCTATCTATGTTCAACATTTCTAGCCATCTTTACCAAGCTAGTTCGATGGAATAATTGGTGACCGTAGTTATATTCGCTTCCGAATCTGCATTGAATCAATTCGTTGTCAATTGCCAGAAGTCATTAGTGCTCTATTCCCTGAAACATTATCAAAAATTACAATTTGTTTACTTATAGTAGCTTGAGCACTTTCATGCGCATGACACCGATAATTGATCACGCGAAGTCCAGATGATCCATGTTATGTGTTAGATCAAGCTGTTGAAAAACTTCACCTCATTCTTGCCACAAGTAAATAGCGTTTCTGTACTTTTGACAATGCTCAAAATAATTACATTGGGATATCAAAGTTTGCTCATGACATTGATTGCTGAGACAGTAATCATTACACAAGATTATGGACAAAAAAGAAGTGATTTTTGAAGATTTGCGGTTCCGTTAGCAACTGGAGAATGCGTTGTCTAATTCCCTTTTGAGTCATAGAAAACACACTGGTGGGTCGGTACCCATTTTTTTTATTTCAGCAAGGGTTTGCTAAACTGTCTAGTCGATGTGCCGGCTCATCGAGTTGATGTGACAATACTGGTGTTCCCTTGAGTAAACCTGCGCCATTACATATGTTAGGCTCTTGCATGAGGATTCACGCCAATTGCCTTGATCATCGCCGAATAATTTTTGCATGTTTTCTTGTGTAATATTTGTTACGCAAACACAGTCTGCTCGGTGCTTTTTCTTAAATAGACACAGTGTAGAAGTAAATAGACATGGTGTGGGATTAGAACCCAAACAGGGCCCACATCTATAATGCTGGAACGGTTACTGGTACGATGCGTTGGGCATTTCTGATTTCACCTGACAGCGGCGTCATAAATAATCATCTGATCACTTGACTTTTCGGAGGCCTGAAAATCTTCGACTTCTTAGTTCCGTTTTTTTTATTTCGATTGGTCTTGTCTCTCGTTGGTTTAGCAAAATTACTTCTTGCTTAGCTCTGTTTTTGCCAGTTTTTGTGTAATTATACTTATTGAAGTAATCCAGAGTTTTCTGTTTAACGTCGCCCCTTCTCAGAACTTTATCGACCAGACCAAAGATTGCAAAGTGGTTTAGGTGTCTTTCTAATGTCATTGTCACTTAAGGGTTTCCCCTCCTTGATACAGCACCGGCAAGCCCCAGAATATTTTCTGGGGTGTTCATAAAATGTACGAATTATCTGGAGTGGTTGTGCTCAGACTTGCCGTTTATTCTTGTGCTTTTTGGAGTCGACGAGACTTCTCTGATGATGATACTTATCTGAAAACAAATTGCGCGTGCCCTTTCCTGCTCGGTTACGTTACTTGATCCAATCCGCTTAAAATATGCATGGTGCACCTTATTTGCGCTCCTTGTTTTGGTGAAGAATGCCCTCATGCACCGTTACCAAGTTCAAATGATTTTTTTATTTCCTCGTAACGTTACTGGAAGCAAAATTAATGTACCCACTGTCCTCATCAGGACTTATTTTCTGGAACACTTGCTTTCACTCATTATTGTCATGAAATAGGTCGCTCTAGTTAAAATTTGGTACCTGGATTATTTCTGTTTATATCAGGAGCAGAATTTGGCCATTAATGTAAACACTTTTTGCATCAAATTCACGACAATTGGTGCCAAAGGCTGCACTCCACCGACACTTAAAGGACTACTGTTGCCAACGCCTTTTACTAAGTGAAAAGTGAATAACGCCGCTTTTATAGAAACAATATCGCTTTTAATAACTTCCTCGTTGCCATTTATTTACTTTTGTGTGATTTGACCATCGTCAACTGTCTCTGCATCGTACATTAATTCCCGTGCCTAACAGCCAACTTATCAACCAGTTCCTTTTCTTTTTACTGTGATGGCACAAAATACTTAATTTTTCGGGCCGTAATTGTCGTCCTCTGATCTACGGACAATAATTGACCATTTGCGCTTATGATTTCACTATGAACAAACATGCAACAAACTCTGTCAACTTGGTTGTGATCTTCGTTCGTTAGAAAAACATCATTGGTCATTGTATGCATAGCTGTTTGAGTAGGGTGTGCTCATTGTAGGGTGGCTTGCATTTTGCAACTGGCATCTCACTTTCAAAGCGAACAAAATTAATTGTGTGTTTGCCCTTTTGTGCAATTAAGTGCATTCAATGTTGCTGATTTCCACAGCTTTCCTGGAACAACTTTCGTAGAGTGACATTGAAAATTTCCATCCTTACTGATGACTACCTCGTCTACTTCATATTGTATTTCTCCGCATCACTATCGCCTAAAGACTTGTAGACTGTTTTCCTTATCAGTCCCTGTATGCCTGTCCATCGCCTTAGACAAATTTTACGCAAGCCGTAAATGAGGTCATCCTGTTGCCATTATTTCATTACAAAACGGCGTTTTTGCACTGATGGTTTTGAATGACACCGAGCAGTTCGCTTTTATGTTTACTCAGCTAGTTCACAGTTGCGTTATTCAGGATGTCATCCCCCAAGCAGACGTGTGGATACCTACACACACTTTCACCCTTATGCAGTCTTCAAATCTAAACGAAATCGTCCTGAGGTGCAGTCGTCCTCTGTCTGTTTAAGCGACCTGTTACTTGTATGCCGGCGTGGTGCTAGGATATTTTTTTCTAAATGCAGAAAATTTGCCAGGATTGTAACCGGACAGTAACTACCAAAATATGCGCTTACTTTCCCATGAAATTTTACATGCGCAGTTTTAAGTAAGCAACCAGTGCAAAATTTTCGTTTATTTCATCCTGATCGGGGAACAAGAATTAAGCCATGGTTTTTCTATTTAAAATCATTTACTTGTCTACCTGTGTTCATTTTCTTGCAGATCTAACTCCTCTTCAATATCATCTTACTCCACGTGTCCGTGGCATTGAGCTTCTTCTGAACAATATGTATTCGCATCTGAATGCAGTATACGATATGACAGTGGTCTTTGGCGACGAAAACGGCAGCTGTTTAGACAAAACCAAGCCCATGCCTGGCTTGTTTTGTAAGTCTCTTTCAGTATAACCTCTTGTGATGTACTGCAGGCACTCGAGCTAGATGCTTAGCTTTTCAGGGAAGATTGACAGACATTCATCCGTTTGTTGACGCATAATGTACAATCCGACATGTAAAGCTTCTTGGGCATGTTTACCTGTTTGATAGACAAACTACCACACCCATGCTGTCGGTGTGTTTTTTTGCCGTGTTTACTACCTTTTTCCCATTGTCGAAACCGAAGTTGGTAGCACTGGAAGTTACAGTACTTGTATAAACTAATTAATCACTATTTCCGAATGAAACCAATGTGAGCATGTTTTAACTTGGCTTCGTCACCAGGGAGGACTGCATTGTTTGCAAACGTACTCTCTGGCTGTCATACTCTTTGCTACAAGTTATGGCATTTCTGGCGGATTCGATTCGGTCTCGGAGTGTTCTCACAAACCTTTTTTTACGTGCCAAATGTCCAATTCCTCTAACCTTATGTGAACTAACACAGAAATCTAACTGAAATGTATGAATCTAAATTTCCTCTAGGAACATTTTTCTGATATTTTGGGTATCCCTTCTTTCTCTTGAAGCCTACCTTATGAAGCCTCATACTCTGCACATTCATTTACAACGATGTCCCGTTGCTGATGTGCCTCAAGAACATGATGCCCTTCGTGCATGGTTATCATCGCGTTTTGCTCTAAAAGACAAGTAATTTTGCTTAAATTTTCTGGTGTTTCATCCAATTTTATGTCTCCAACTCAGTTTGACATTTCACTAAAATGTAGTTCTAAGCACGATCGTTTGTCGTCTTAAACGGACTATTCTTTAATTTTACATTTATCTGTTAAAACCTCTTATTTTCTTAAGTTTGGCCAATCGCGCAAACATTTGTGTTATGTGCGTCGCCTTTTATTTAGCGAAACTTGTAGATCGTTTTTGATTAAGGCTGCAAGTCACACTATAAAAAGCCTTTTGGTTGTTAAAAAGTGGTGTCCTCACTTCTGTTTGTGAAGTTATTTTAGTGTCGGTAAGTTAATACATTTAACTGGACCAAAAGTTTGACCACTTCCATTACCTTTTAATAGCTAAATAGCTATTGTCCTTCTGAATTTGTCATCAAATATCTTAAATACTCTCAGAATCAATATCTGACGTTCAGTGCGAAGCTAAATTTGAGCGAAGTGTCAATTGGCTGGAGGCAGTCTAGATACCTGTCACACTGGGGTGTTGTGGTATTGGCGTACTTTTCGTTGGTAGTGCAATCGACTCAGCGTTTTTTGTCACGCCTTTTTGTCTCCAGTATTGGAATTAAGCTCCTCGCGACCCAAAGTGTCGCTGTCATGCAACCTTCGTGAGTGGCTAAGGCCACCTCCCATTGCACAAATGGCATAACAATCCTGATTTTTTTAAAGGTTTTTGTTTATATCGCCAAAAACTTAACATGAAATACAAAACCGTTAGTTGGCTCCCATAGCTATCTCTTTACAGTTTGGGTGTTTCAAGTGTTACACTTATAGGACTAAGGATTGTTCCGTATATTACCTCACAAATACTGGACAAAGAACATAATGCTTGCGTTTCAGGACTTATTTTAGGCTTTTCCATTTAACTAAATTTTTTCATTGAAACTGTATGAAGTGCACTAGCTGTTTTGCCACCACTACTGTTTAGAAGAAAGTAAAACGTTGTTGGATGGCCCCGTCAGAAAGAATGCTTATTTCTCACTATTTATTTACTCACGCTATGAAATCCTAACGTTTTGTTTGCTACTGATTGTTGTAGTAGAATAACTTAAAAAACCGCCGGCCTTCATGCGTCACCGATTTTATCTTATTAGCGAATGTTCCATGGTGTTTTTACTTGAGGTGAGCTGTGTTAAGGAAATCTAATTGCCGATCTTTTTTAGGTTGTTTGCTGACCTCGATCAAGTCAAAAAGGAACAGTCTAGGCAACCAAATGTAAGCGAGGTGAAGGCCGCCTTTCTCAAGAATCTTTCCGTGAGTAAGGTTCCTAACGGTTTTGAGCAGCTGCCCCGCCTCCGTCGCCGCTGGCTTTTCACAGCTTTTACCTGCCTAGCATCTTTTACCGCCCTACTCCTATTTGTTCATCCCTTGCTACAATACGCTTACTTTGGTAGCGTTGTTGCAACAACTCTGTTTGGGATTCCCTATGTCTGGTTTGCCGTTTAGACCGTGCCTTTATACTGAAACACGATTAAGACCGATTACAACTCTTGACACATTTCCCCGAAAAATTTGCTTATGTGACTTTTGTAGTGAAGCCTGCACTCATGCGGCTAATTTTAGATTCTTCGTCGATCACCGTCCCTCTTTTCTCTATATAAAAATAAAGGTGTGTTCATTTATCATATATTTGTGGCCATTTGGATTTGTGTCAAAATAGTTAGTAAAAATCTGGTCGGGGTTTCAGTTAATTCCGCTCCGTCTGAACTACATATATCAAACGACGATTTGTGCAATCGCCGTAGTTCAGTAATTATTTTGCGAAAGTTCAGTCAAAATCGACTTAAAATTCTGCGAGTTGTTTTCTAGAAATTCGATTGATTTAATATTTCTGTGAATCAATTTAGGCATAAATATAGATTACTTTTAATTTCCTCCTAGTACGTCTTCGGTAGACATTTAAATTTACTTTGACGGAAAAAAACAACGAGCAGTCGTTTTCAAATTTGGAGTCGATTTAAGCTAAACGGCGTATTTTTTTAGAGAATATGCAATAATCCTAAAGAGGAAGAAAAATTTCGAATTGAAAAACTCTATGAGGAATATAATATTAAAATGAACATTGCCAATAAATATTCAGTGATGCTAGATAAACACGGCTGCAGAAATAAGAATTAAAACCGTAGCTATTGTCATCCACTTTAGTGCTGTTTATGTACGCAGAAAAAGTTCGCCGTCTGAAACTTTAAACCTTGTTTACCCTAATTGACATTATCAGAATTTGTTTGGTTTATGTTGTTTAAAATATCACTCAATTAACGGGCTGATACGAATCGCCGTTGAATTTAGAATTTGATGCCGCCTTTAGACGATCACGGTGAGTCTGCGCAGCCGTCAGTCGAGGAACTGATTGCCACTGGTAAAAGAAGTCTTCTCTGCCTGGAATTCGCGAGTGCCGTGCAGTGCTTCCAGAGGGCCTGTCAGATTTTGTAATTTTGTTACTTATCCTTTTGATATTGCATAATGTAGAGCTGAGGCGAATGGCGACTTACATGACACTTTAGCGGTTCCAAATCTCCTTTATGGGACGGCTTTATTAGAATTGTCGCGATGTGAAACCAAGATCTTGAGCGAATCCCTTGAGAAAGTACATTCTCCTGAGGGAACTCCGCGTATGTGTTACATTATTTTTTATCGAGAAATATGCAGAAAGCAATGCTGAAACCGATTTCAAAACGTTAGAAGGAGACAGCAATGTGATGCAGCCTGCTGGCGGGTTA